TAAACTCATTAACTTCTTATTTAGTTTATTTGATATTTATTGACCTTATCGCACTCTCCCTCATTGCTTGATCCGGTTAATAGACGCCTAATATTAAGTCCTGGAATTAACGCATCCTCTAAGTAATCTGAAACATGCAAAGAGCGTTCTAATGTCTTGGAATTGTGAGAAAACCAAGGCCCTTATTTAGGACGGCGATTCATTTTGCTTCGTGCGTACCCACAAATGAACCTACATTCTCGTTGCTAATTTAAACTTTATCAGCAGCGTCCGCATATGTCAAGGAAGCCCTGTTCTTCGTTTTGTGAAGATCCCTGAAACTAATTGTTTGTATAATGAATTTTGTGTTTCATAGTATTTTATTCCCAAAGTTTACAGACACAAAATTATGAGATAGCAGGATAATTTTGTGTGTGCTTATCACTAATGTTGGGAAGACAATTCCTTATGTGCCCATGTCTAATATTAAAATCTCGAAACAATTGTGCATCACGGTGATACACTGCATGACAACGAAGTGAATAAACTGAAACAGATTAACGCCGCAAACCACGCTTTAATATTTTTTTATTCATTTACCGGGTAATATTACATCTTTTAAAAATATACATTACACCAGGAAAGTTTGATCATTGTGCTAGCATATTCACCTCAGCCTAGCCCGCAGGTTTCTAATGGCATTTATTGCTGCTAAAGGCTTGAAATATTAAAATTCGGTTATGTTTGCAAACATAAATGTATGATCAATTCGTTCAATTTGTTAATACAATTACATTCAATCGCCTAAAACTTATAAGTGCACATTTTTAAAAGAAACAGTTTCAATTTAAAAATCAGTGACGGGATGAGCTTTAATTGCAACACTTATGTAACACGTCCACCCTTTGTTAGTTTAGTAAAGCGTTCTAGTTCTTCCTGCTCATACTTACACCAAAATGCGCATGAACTGCGAGAATTTTTATAAGAAGTATAAAACGGGGGGCATACAAGAAATCGCGAAGTACTGGAAGAGGGAGTGGTGTGCGAAAGAAAAAAGAAACATTCTCGGTGCACAAGAGATTGCCGGACGGGGTACTCCCCTTCTACATTCATATTATTGGACAAAACTGCCACATCTTGTTAGACCTACTTTTAGACGCAAAAAGTCCTCTTGTCAACAATCACACTAAACTTCGTCAAGAGAGCGTTTTGGTTTCCGGCCGTAGACAACCTTTACGGCTTAGGACTCTCGCAAAACTCGTTAAATACTTCACGTTTTACTTGTATGTAAGCATCGCATGAATAGACTCAACTACCTCATTTTCTCCGCTCCCTATATGAGAACGGGCAGCCCGCCTCCACCACCACGGAAGCAACGATTCAGGTGTCTTTATCTTAATCGGCCATACTCAGACTTCACTGTGCGTGATAGCACTATTACGGGTGGGCAGCAGCAAGAAATTAGACTTAGTTATAGTTGTTTATCATCTATTTTTCCGGCAGGTTGAAATGTTCAAGCGACTCGCAAAGGTTGCATACTTTCTGATTTATGAAACCACACTTGTTCACGTATGAAGACCCGGAATTACTAATTGGCGCTTTAAAATAGTTTCCATGCGCATATGCATTTACACAGAACAATCGTAGAGCCGGTCATTTCAATAATCGGAAATGAATTTGGGACAAAGACGAAAATACGTTTAAAAGGAGGCACGAAGTATCCAGTGTAAGATTGCGAAAAGTGTTTTAGATGTACAGACAAGTCCCAGTATTTTACTTGAGACTTAATTTTTCCGTCTAAATATATCTGTCTACATCGCTCTTATAATAACTTAGTCTCATTGCTACCATAAATATCAGCGGTTGGCTCTCGGAGTTCTCCGGGTAAATGAGCAGAGGAGAGAATTTTTCAGAGAGCACGAATCGCGACTAATGTCTCTAATGTACAGGTGTTTGAGGGAAAAGAAAACCGAGTTTCTTCTCATCGCAAATTCAAACTACACATCAGCAGACACTTTGTCTCTTTCCACTCACAGCACTCGCAGTTAGGAGTAGATTAAAAATTTCAGACCTTATTGTAACCTAACTCAAAAGTTAAGCGCGTTTTCTTGGATGTAATATAAGCAAATGAGGCACGTTCCTAGTTTCAGACGTCACTCATCTTCATGTATTCGCGGGCTTTGTTGGCCGCTATCTCTACAATGAAAATTATCCAACATTCCTTTGAAGTTCTGATACAGAGAGTGCTAAGATCTATAATTTTGGTATCTGGTTTCAACATCAAGCGCTACATTTAGACGGATACAACGCATTTTGTGATGAATATATTTCAAATTTTGTATCTCCCTATAGCTTTTTAATATTTCTTGTACATCTCACAAATTTTAAATACTAAAGAAACTGCGCTAAAAGGAAAAAAAACTGAAAACAAAAATTTTGACTACTATCACTATGTATGTGAGGATGTGGAAACTTTATCTATTTCCGTGTATATTTGGAGGCAATATATGTGTCAGCGATCCACTTATGCTTGGAAATTTTAAATTGTTACTATGAATTATGACTTGTTTTCAGAGGAGGCAAAATACCTAATAAATGCTCTTTTTTTATAGACTTAATCTGGCAAGGAAAAAAGGTGACGACTTGCGCAGTCAGATAGTAGGTACGTAAGAAATTGTCGTAAGGAAATGTTTTGTAGAAATGTATATTCAGCGCAAAAATAATCTATCTCCACCGAGTGTCAGGCCAATAGAATAAAATGCAATATAGATGTCACGGACAGATTACGTCATTGAATTTTTTGTACCGATACCACAAAATAAAACGTGGATGCAGCTTTGCCAGATACAAAAGTCTTATAGAGACTCACTAAACCTTCACCAGACACTAAAATAAAAATTAAAAAAGGTCTAAAAGGAATAATTCAATATATAAATTTAGTTAGAATACAAATTAGCCACAAGTATATCACCAGCTTGATGCCATAAATTTGCTGTAAAACAGAACAGGCCAGCGGTGCACGAATATCCCCGTATCAATGCAATGTTAGCTAAAAAAAATACCTCGTCTATCTATCCTTTTGGTATTTGCGCAGTTAATTCCACTTAATGATCAACCAACTCACCCAACAGATGATCGTGATGCAGTTGCCGCGGCGCATACGGCGAGTTACTCTGTTATTTTTCCAAGTTGTGATGACGTCCGTGTTGGTATCCCCGGCCTAGCAGAAAGGCGAGTATCGCCTAACTCTGCCGATCACGTTAATTTCACTAACTCCCCTACTTCCCACACTGCTATCAACAAACTAAATGGAAGAAACTATACGGCAGCATTAATTATTTTTGCTTACGTGGCTGGTACTGTAACGTCGCTAGAATTTTATACGCAATGTTTTAAGATGCCAAAACCTAAACTTTCATAGCTTTTTAATTTAGAAGCCGCATCAACTTTTTTTTTAAGATGGCGGACACTGGAACTCGCCTGTTTTCATTGGAGGAATACTGATATGAACTTTCTAATATATATCTTATGTTCAGAAATCAGTTAAACATGATCAACTCCATCTGTAAATGACAATTGTGCGCTTGTATTTTGAACGGATCGCTATACTTCCCGTTCCAAAGGACCGATTCCAGGGATCGCTCGAAGATCAGCCACCGGAGAGCGCGATGCACCACGGGAGACGTGACCTCAATTGGACCCGCGTGGGCATAGTTGCATGGGGGCTGGCGCTGTTGTGTGCTCGGCCACTTGGTGTCCTGAACTTGTTACAATCTGGCCAATTCAGTGGCCCCTTCCCGCTAAAACACTGCACTGGCTCGGACTTACCCCAAAGCCCGGGACCAGAGGCCAGATTCACGAAGAGCTTCTTAGTTTACGACGACTTAGCTAAGAAGTTCGTAAGTTAAGAACATCGTAAGAAGAAGAGAAATCGGTATTCACGAACGCGTTCTTAAGTGAGATGAGGAAAGCGACGTTGTCATACGGAAAAATAAAGCTTACCGGTGTTGTTGCTATGGCGACGAAGACGTCGGCAACACGAGCAAACAATCGGAGGGCTCGGCATTTGTTCGGAGCCGCTCGAAGCACGTGGATTTTTCATAACAAACACAGGCGGTCTTTCTGCCACCGCTTGTCTGGGGTTCGTGTCCATGCAGTGATATATCGACGCTAACACGATTTAAACACTCCCGAATGCCGAAGCCGCAATGCGCAACCGCCCCCATTGACTGCTCCGAACTCGATCGCTACGAAGTCAACACAACTGTCATCGTTGGTAAAAGACAGCCCGCAGTCGTTTGCAAAGCGACGTAGATGGAAACAAATTACCGCGGCGTTTTTCGCGGCCTCGGAGATGCATGAGCTAGCCGACGTTAAAAATATACGTTTGAACTACGACAGTGTCAGCAAGAGCCAAGTCAAGGCCTGTTCACACTACGGAACGGACGCGCGCGTTTGATCGAAGTGGTGGATTTGCGCTGTTGGACCGCGAATTGATAAGCGCTTCGGGACCGATCCTTTACAATTGCCACTCGATGCTGACGTGACACCCGGCAAAGCAATAGGTTGGACCGGCATTCCCCCCCACGAACTGTTACAGCAATCGACAGTGAGCTGCAGTCGTGTCAGAATAAAAATGGAATACTAATAACAAAGTGTACATTTCGTGTTGCGAAGGTAATCCATACGGCGTTTATTTGAGCTCGATATCACACAAAACTGAGATAGAATTGATAAGAGCCCCTTTTCGACGACAGCGTTCGTCACCGTTGCCTCGGAAATAAGATGACAAGAGGAAGTGATTGACCTCTTAATCTAAAATTGAGGTCAGCGATCAAACTATAATACGGGAAGGGTTCACAAGGGTAGCGCGGGCATATTCTATCCAGCACGCAAGCCGGTCGTGGGCAGACGGTCTTCGCCAAGGACCGTCACAGCATCGCTGCGCCGAGTCGGAGTGCCTGCTAGGCCTATCTGCCGATCGGTCGGAGTCCGTGGAATCGTGGCCGTTGGAGCTTTTGCCGGATGTCTGTGGATCCAGCGTTCTTGTTCGTTCGTCGTGGTCTGTTTCAAGTACTTTTTACTTTTTCTTGCTGCTTGAAGTCGGGACGCGTGAGACGCGCACGTAGAAAAATAAGCGTCCGTTGGTTGTCGCGACCAACTAAGCGACGCTGTCGGCCATGCTGATTTGATCGTAAGAAGTGCGTAAGACAGCTTCGGAGCTGTCGTAGGACTTCGTCGTAACCTGCGCAAAACTTACGAAAATTTCGTTTCGTGAATACGGATTTGTTCTTAAGTTTTGTCTTAGGCACATTTTTGGCGTAAGATCGTTTCGTGAATCTGGCCTCAGTTCCTTTCTGTCTTACCCGACAGTGCACGGGCCGGGTAAGGCGTTTGTTTTATTTTTTGAGGGCCTGGGCGGGGCCCGGTCTCTTATCAGCGGGTTAGGGCCGGGCTTGACCTTTTGACTGTGGGCCCGGGCAGGGCTCGCGTCAGCGCATTGGCGGGCCTGGACCGGGCTAGGTCTGCGGTACGAACCCAACTCAGGCCCCCCAACGAGTGTAAGTAGCAGGTCTGGTTTTAGTGTTGAAATTCAGTGTGGAACATCCAAGCATCGTTATTGTCGTTGTCCAGGCGGCAAAGAAAACACGAGCATAGCTTTACTATATTTACGTAGAACTTCGTTGGGTGGCGAAAGAAATGACACGCGATTATGTACGCAGTCGTAATTTATTTTTAGAGAAATCACGGCACTCTGTAGATTGATGGCTTAATACATGGCAAGCACGATGATAAGTAGGATTTGTCTGGGCTGCATCGCCTGTTGGCACAGATCGTAGTTCTCGCCTGGCCCCCTAAATGCATCATGTCGGCTACTACAATATTTTGCGTCGTGTTTCTTGGGCATCACCAGGGTTTAGAATAAAAATCAAGAGTATTTATAATGTTATTTCAATCATGATATCAATCAGGATTTAGATTGATTTGGCTATGATGATTTAGATCAAACACCTTCTCCCAAAACAATGCTTAAAATATTTCCTATTTAACGTTTCTTTCTATCGGTGTCTGCTTCCCATGGTCATTTATTTTTTATCTATAGCAAAGAATAATCAAGCAGCAAAATTGACATAAGTGAGTCATTAAGGAAAGCACTTCCATGATTCCTTTCTGCTTAAGTCCAGACATGGCCGACGCTACGAGCTGATGTGGCAAAGTCAAGCAGCGTCGAAAGCGCGGGTCATTAAGCCTCTTCTTTTAATGATTGGTTCACCGATGAGAGGAAACATACCGAAATAGGACGTACACCATGATGGTGCACGTTTGAAGCTGTCTGATTGGCCCCATCAGCTCCCAGCGTCGGCTGCGTCTGGTTTTAAGGTGAAACCAAGTACAGCGATAAAACGTCTCTTTTCTAGCTGAAGTATTTAGATCATATAAGTTCATTTAAACAAACAAATTTATTTTAAATCAAACACATGTAATCTAGATAAAAGGAACCTGATTTATTTTAATTTGTTTTTTTAATCATTTATATTTTACACCCTGGGCATCACACAAGTATGATAGGGAGGATTTCTATGCTAAATATTGAGGGGCTGAGCACACCGCTAGAACAACTGGTTGATGCACATTCAAGAAGCAAGTGAGCGTTGTCTACAATACAGTAAGGAAAATTATAATCGGCGTGCAGATTGTTCCTTCTGAACTCCTGAGCGATGGGGGAGAATGCGTCAGTGCAACGCCACCAGCACAACGTGCCTAAAGCAAGATTCATTGTATAACCTTTCGTTCTTGCACTAAAACCTACAGAATTTTATTCCGTAATAAAATATTGGTCAGGAGCTCACTTTTATTTCTTTCCCTTCCTAGTCCCTGCCAATTATGCAGAATACCTGAAAACAATTTTATGTGTGCGGCCCCGGAAGAAATTATGTGTATTTGTAGAAAGCTGCCTCCGAAGAAATTTGATGTGCAAATAATTCATCTGACATTGGTTCATGTCGTTCAGATGGTCTTGGGTATAAAAAAAAATTGAAATCGGCGTTGCACTTTGTTGCTGAGGTGTCTAGGCCAATCCATTCCTCTATATCGTTTTCTGATGTTTTTTTTTATTTATATGAATAATATAACTCTTTGGTGCCACAGTTCGACTAGCCCAGTTAAATTGTTACGTGTGTTGTTCGTATGTCCGTCAGGCAATGACATACAAGGGAGAAAATTGCGTATCAGCGATTCACCTCCAGCGATTGCTTTGAGTGCATATAATTACGTTCTATAATACATTGGTACTGCACCCGGCGAAGTTGAGACAACATGGCATCAAATTTGGGCCTTGGCCGGGCCTGTTCTAAAAGGTGGCGGCCTGGGTCGGGCAGGGTAACTAAGAAAAGCCTATTTGAAAAAACCGGAGACGACGGACGAAGAAGGGGTCTGCACCCTTCTTCTGCCATCGTCTCCGGTTTTTTTTTATCAAATATGTGTAACATCAACTAGCTCGCCAGTTTATTTACTCTTTCTTCTAACATAGAAATTTCTCGGGCTCTGGCCGTGCCTGGGCCGCCCGGTTTCAAACACCTGGGCCGGGCTGGGGTGGGTAAATTTTCGTGACGCCGGGCCCGGGCCGGGCCTCGGTTAAAGACGCGGTCGGCGCAGTGCTCTACTCCCCGCTACCGGGAGGAGTTGAAGAAGCGGCGGAAAGAAGAGAAATACAATTGGAACAGGGTTCGCGCGCACGCAGCCTGCTGCCGTTCTTCCGAGGAGCGGCTCTTCTTTTAAGTTCAGTGTGACGTAACGACATTCCGTTTATTCCTAAAATATGAAAAAAAAAAGTGTTTGCTGCTTTTTCGAGCAAAAGATTGTTGTCTCCGTGATGTGGCCACAACATGGTTGACATTTAGAAAATAAAAGACCCGCTAGATATTCGTTGAAGTATCCCTTTAAAACGTACAACTGAAACCAAATTCTCGAGCGCTGACAAACTTCTTATATTGTGAGCTCCATTCATATTTGCGATCACAACTACCTCTATATCCCTGCCAATAGCGGTCCGCTAAAATGGTAGAATCACTGGGTATTTGACCATGCCATATAGTAAAAAAATTCCACGAAATACCTACCCATGTATGGCGCCAAAGAAACGCCTAACTTAGCACAAGCCTGGCAATCTTAGAGGACAAAGCTGGTTCTGAAATAGTTTTGTTTCAAGGCGCTATTTAGTGCCAGGGTACATTTCTTTGGCGCTTCCATGGAGTTTCTCAAACCTCGCCATAATTGACAGAGTGCCAGGCTTGAGACAGATATGCGACACTATGAAGCAAATAACCAACCGTGAAGCTTAAATCTAGTGCCTGTTTTGCGATTTGGGCCAAAAGTAGGCACATACAATCCAGACAACCAGAAGTGAAGCCAGCTTTGGAACTTTATTGGCGACTTAGACAAAAGAATGCCAGACTGCAGTCAAAGGACCAGCAGAAGAGTCCAAATATTTTACTTTTTTACCCAGATTCCGGCCAAAAACGTTAATGTTTTACTATACACTGTCTTCTGGTATTTTAAGGCCATATATTCCCAGGCAAAGACAAAACAAAATGTCATAAGGAGCTGGTTTATCTGAGAAACTGTCTTTCGAGGGTTTTGTAAATTTGCTGCACACAAGAAAACAACAGAACGTTTCTTTGCGAGTTCTATAATTTAACGCTGTCCACTCTGATCATACCTTGGAATAAAACGACTTGCAATGCAAAACTTACAATTAATAAAATATTAGGAAAAATTCCTAAACATCAAGCAAGTCATCTGATTCAGATAAGTGAAAAAAATATGTGTTTCTCGCATCTCGTTTAGGCATGACTTTTACAGCGGGAGTATGCACTACATATAAGGTGGCCATTCTAGAAGATGCTGGCTTGACCTTTCTGGGAGCAACTATACTTTCTCATTATATCGGGCACCTGTAAGTTTTCAAACCTTTTATATTTTATGATTTTACTGAATAAACATGCCTTCTCAGACGTTCTGTAGATGTTGATTTCTTAGTATGTGTCTGCTAGAGTCAGGCGAATCAGTTCAATGCTTTTTGAGACGGAAATAAATATTGTGGGGCACCATATTAAGCAGCATACTTGCTCAAATGTCAGAACAAATGTCTTTCATTATTGCACTTCTTATCACGGTTCTATTGGCATTCTCAGGAATATGCCTGCTCGTCTAATGACTCTATGTTTAAAAGAAACGGTACCATCAAATGATAGTAAATTTACAAAAAAATGTTGTGTTCATAATACAATGGTTACTTTTTATGATTAAATTAAACACAATCTTTGCGTGAGCTCAGACGACTAGCATTCAATCAGGGGGAAATAGTGGAGTATGCCCCCTGTGTTTAAAAGTGCCTAGTATTTTTTGTTGTATACACAGCCCTGCCATAGGACTTCATAGATTTCCGCTTCATTAATGGTTTTTGTCCATTCTCTTCAAACCTCAACTTACGTTTAAAAAAAAACATTTTTTTGTGAGTGTCGATTAATTGTGGTGTCGGGGCGCTACCAATTAATAGACAGTTCACTATAAAATACTGTTGTTTTTTTAAAGGACACATTAAAAACAATCCCATAGAGCGGCGTGAGACAGCATGGGTGTGAATTGGTAGGGGCGATCGGTTGTGTTTTACTCATGCTGCTTGCGACCACGCAAAATCTGTCTTACTATTTTTTTATGTGGATTCTCCGCTGATCTAACAATAATCGTAGCCGTTGAAGTTTGGAGTAATTTGTTTCCTCTGGTGTCTCCCTTTATATTCGTTCCGCTCCCATTTCCGCTAAGCAAGTATGGAAATGTTTTTGCTGGTAAACTTCAAGATATGTAGCAGCGTTTCATGATTGACTCCAGGAATAACAGTACTTAGCGATTCCCGCATTCATTGCGCGGATCGCAGATAAGCAAGTTATGAGAGCAAGCTCCTACATACGCAGCCAGACTTACGGCAGCCACAAACAGTTATTCGCTACCGTAAAGGCTATTTAATGAATGGTTCTCTTTTTTTAGGAGCGCAGGATATTTAAAAAAAAATCGTTTTGTTTGTTGCCCGGCAAAAGTATTATTTCACAAAAGTAAGAATAATTTTTGGCGAACGAAATTGCTTCTAGTGTTCTTTTTTGATTTTCTAAACTGAAGCTAAATATAAAAAAGAAATATGAGGGTATACCAAATTGACTTATTGTCACGGGTAAAGAAAGTGACGAGAGGGTGTTCGGTGTGGAAACTAAAGAGTTAATGAAGGCGCACTTGCGCCAAAACAAAGGGGTAAAATAACGGGTGTCGTAAGCGGGCGAGGATGTCGTCGAGGAGGCACAGTCCTGCGCTCTTGCAAAACTGGCAAACGACGGGTAGAACATTCTAACCTCGAATCAGCAACACGGTCCTCGAATTTACGAGAACATCACATTACAGAGCCAACAAAAATGTGTACTTGCGGCGAGGAATCCAACTTTGGCTTTTTGCGTGGAGGGCAAGCACGACAACCGTTAGGCCACGAGCGCGCTGCCTGCTTGGTCAGCTGCACGCGCGGCAATATTTACTGGTCGAGTCTTGGAGGCGCTGAAATAATCGTTATAACCAATTTGTATTATTCTTTTATAAAAACGGTGGCATATAACTTTTGTGTCATTTTGTTGTCTTCCAAACGTTTGCGTGGTGTTAGTAAAACGTAGCAAAATGGTTCTTGTAAAATGCACAGGTACCCCGATATACTTGCGTTTAAACGATGATGTCTGGCAGAGATCATCCGTGCCTTATAAGGGGAAAGCTTATACTTCAACGCCCGAACCGGCCGCCAAAACTGGAGAGACAACAGACAGAACACGACAGAAAGAAACAAAAAGGAGTGTGGCGCCCCTAGAAATCTGCGGTTACTTTCCGAAACTCTTCTTTATATCTTCTTTTAGCTTTATCTTCTTGCGAAAGATATCATACTTCTTTGTACCTGAGGCCATTTTCACTTAGTCGTACCTTAGGTTCTTTCCCCGTCCGTCAGCTTCATCCTCATACTCCCACTACAAAAGGGGGTAGCAAATGGTAGTTATTTTGGTTTTTCGCAATATACAAAAGTAAAAGAGCTGGTCATCTTATGACACTTGTTTGGCTTTCCTTCTTCCTGCCGCCCCTCCTATCTCTTTTACCGTAACCTGGCTGTCTTTAATTTTGGTGCCGAAAGCGCAGACTCCCAATAAATAGGAGCTTGTGTCCGCGTTTTAATCTATTTTTATTTCTGATCTTTATTGGTGTCAGATGAAGAATACAGACAATTATATTGTTGACGCGAACACGACTTGGCTTAGCGTACACGATGGTTCTCATATAAAAAATTCCGCATTACCACTGCACTCCATCCATCCATAAGCTGACAGTGCAGTGGAAGCTACGTGCTGGCGGAAAAGTCGTACATTCAGCTTTGGTCACTTGGTCACAGTTCCGCCCACGTTCAGACAGCTGGGTCCGGAGCTGAAAGGAGGGGTGCTGGTTGATGCTGCGAGCGCTTAGCTCCCACCGGACTGTCAGCTTTGGGAACGGAGTACAGATGCTTGTATCTTTCTTCCATGACAAGTGCGTACAACTGAATTGGATATTTAAAACAGTTTTTAAAGCGCAGGCTTGGTTGCCCGGACGACGGCAAGGGTGCGCCATCAAACCTGCCAGGTTCACCAGGCTCAAGCGCATGTTCATTCGACGATGGATATATAATGGGTCGCATTTTGAAGAACCTCAGTGACACGCGAAAGTATAAATTCTCCAACTGCTGCGTATCTATAATCAAGTTTGCCCTTGGGTACGTAAAATGCAACACAAATGAAATATAAGCGTAGTACTCATTCGCTAGGGAGCATAAAATTTAAATTTCCCATTCCCAGTAACATGAGCCATAAATTTCTTTCTGACGCAGACTGATTATACATGACTTAAAATAGCTGTGATTCACGGGACTAATAGGGTTGTATTTCACTGTCACGTTATTGATAAATAAAACTTCTCTTTCATGTTAAAAAAACAACTTTGATGTCAGAATGGACTATTTTAAATGTTTGCATACGGTCACGAACACCAAGTTCATATCAACAAACAAATTGCCTGGTGATGCTATTTCTAAAAACGAAACATGCAGAAATGTATTGAAAGAACTTAAAAAGGAGAATGGATTTCATGAAGATATGGTAAGTTTTTTTTGGTTTTTGAGCACCTTTTTTGTTGATTTTAAGAGTGTTTTTAAGCTTTTATGAAGAGTGCCGATGTATTACGCGCAACAATGTCTACCCAGAACGGCACTTCATAATACAGATGTTCAAATTGTTCCCCTAGCATGCATTTTTTAACGAAATTCAATAAGCACACGGTAAGACACTAATGATCGATTATAGCACTTATCTTTAAGGTTACGTCGTAAACATTGTCTACATATTGTTAGGGAGAAGAAGATGAAGCTGAAAAACGAGGGCCAAGCTGCGCGCGCTCTTCAGCTGATGCACAACGATCTTGTCGCTTGAACTCCTCTATCCAGTTTTCATTAAATCACCCTTTCAACATCCTCAAAAGTGGTGGAGGTCAGTACGTTTCCCAACCTCTCGGCTGATCCCTATTCTGGAGTTACGTAGAGGACGCACCATTAACACCCTGTCCCAAGGAGCGAGTACTTCAAACAGCCTGCCACCCCCCGGTTCCACTCCATCGCCACCGACCGTCAAGAACCGGGAACGGGACCCTCCTATTATCTCTGGCTCTCCTGACACCGATGTCCACGACTGGACGAAAAGTGATGACCGCTCAAGTCACCACAATCGATGGGACGACAGCTTCACGTTGTCTAATGCAGTCTTCTTTTTGAAAGACACTACATCGCAATGGTTTGACAACCATGAGGACGAAATGAGTTCATGGGACGCCTTTACAGCCGCATTGTCAGAGGCGTTTGGAAAACCAGATCGACGCAAACAGCGAGCGAAAGACAAACTGGCTCGCCGATTTCAAGCCATTACCGAGTCTTCCACCAGCTACATTGAGGACGTCCTTCGTCTCTGCTCCAGATTGGATCCCGACGTGACCGAAGAAAATCGTATCCGTCATCTGTTTAAGCGGCTGTCCCAACACCTCTTCGCCGTTGTTGCACCAAAGTCACCCACGACAGTCCAACAACTAATCGGTGAGAGTAAAAAATATGAAGACCTGCAGAGTGCACGGATCTCGAAGGCACCACTCGAACGCCTTCCAGAGGTATCCTTTGCATGTGTTGCCGGTGTCGACTTGACGGCATTGATTCGCATGATCATTCGTGAAGAGCTGCATTGCTTCCTTGATCACCTCGGTCCACCTTCCGACTCGACCGAAACCCACCCTCAGGCGCAGAGCGCCCAGAAAGTCGTCTAGAACGAACTTCATGCTGGTCTTGCATCACTGACGCCATCGACGCCGGCATAAGCTTCACCACCTCCCGTACCGCCGCTCTTCTGTACCATGCCACATGATGCGCAGCACTTCTACCCAGGCTCCCGTTTCAATCAGGCCTCCCCAGCGTCGCGAAGCTACGCACCGCGCCGAAGGAGTGACATTTAGAGAGCGGAAGACCAGCGACCTATCTCTTTTAGTTGTTCTTTACCCGGACACGTCGCGCGCTACTGCCGCCGTCGCGATAACCCTAACGTGTATCGCCGTTTCTCTCAACTTAATCCACGTTACTCCCCTCGGACGACAGCCGTCCCGTTGACCGCCAGACCCCAGCTGCATTTTCACAGCGTGATAATCGCAGAGGCCGATCTCCGTCTCCTTAGCCTCGACGCCAGCGCTTCGTGTCACCAATCAATGTCGCCGCCGACGCAAAAACAACGTCAAACTGAAGCCCGCAGCCTGCGTCGCCACAGGAGGTCAGGCTGCGCCACGAAATTGCATTATAAATAATTCTGGAGATGGCCCAACGACTGTTGCTATTGAAATTGACGGACAAAAATTTATAGCCCGCGTAGACACCGATGCCGCCAAATCCTGTATCTCTGACAGTTTCCGACGCGTTTGCGCAAAGTATTGAGGCCAGCACCTGTACGAATTTTACGTATGGGAAATGGAGATTTATTTCGTCCTCTCGGCTGTTCGACACTCTCAGTGACTCTCGGCTCCATCGCTACGTTGTTGTCTTCACAGTCCTCTCGAACTGCGTGGCTGACGTGATACTGGGATGGGATTTCCTGTGGTGAACGTCGGCTGCATTTAAACACTTCTGACACCGACGAATCAGCGGATTGTGATCCTGTTGTCCTTCGGATTACAGCCGATTTATATATCACTATTGACTGCTGTCGGAGTAACACTGCAGCCTTAGTTCAGCTTCCAAGGAGATTACGGTCTTGTCGAGCCACTGCTTACCACATTTCTGCAAAAGGGCTTGCTTGTGCTATACTTTAGCGTCACCGTAATAGCAAGCCAAAATAATTTATGTGTTACAAACACTTCTGCGCAGCCGCTCATATTACCTTGAGGAGCTGGTCTTGTAACCATCCGGACGTTCGATCATGATAGCCTGGCCATTTTGGCTCAAGACACGTGCCATCTCCATTCGCACCCAATTCCTCAAACCCAGTGCTCCACCAAATATACAACACTGATGACTGAGAGCTGCTTAACAACGAACCAAAGGCAAGCTCTTTCCAGTCTTCTGGAAGCTTATAGCGTCTTATTTGACTTCAACTGCTCAGTACTCCCACAGACATCTTTGGTGTACCATAAAATTGAAACCGGAAATGCAAGTCCCCGTATTGTATTTCCCCTGCGGAACGTAAGTGATTCGAGACCATGTGACTGATATGCTGCAAAACAATGTTATACAGCCGTCACCCAGCCCTTGGTCCTCCCCTGTGGTTCTCGTAAAGTAAAGAAACGCTTCGTGGTGTTTTTGCATGGATTACCGGCGTCTAAACAGGGTAACTAAAAAGGACGTATATCCGCTCCCTCGTATCGATGACATGCTCGACGCACTTCAAGGCTCTTCGTTCTTTTCATCTGTTGACCTCCGTAGCGGTTACTGGCAAATCCCGCTTGCCAACGCGGACAAACCGAAAACTGCGTTTGTGACTCCGGACGGTCTCTTCCAATTTAATATCATGCCTTTTGGCCTGTGCAACGCTCCCGCGACGTTTGAGCGGGTGATGGACAGTGTTCTACGCGGATGATCATGGGACATATGCCTCTGCTCCCTCGACGATGTTATCTTATTCTCCTCAACCTTTGAACATCATCTACATCGGGTCCAGCAAGTTAGGGACTGCTCTCGCTCCGCTAATTTGCAGTTGAACTAAAAAAAGTGTACCTTCGGTGCTCGGGAAATTCGGATTCTGGCTCACCTAGCCAGCTCGTAAGGCATCCGCCCAGACCCCAGCAAAGTCCAAGCTGTCTCGGACTTTCCGATTACCAGAACCACGAGAGACATCCGGTCTTTTCTTGGGCTCTGTACGTACTTCCGGAAGTTGATCCCTCGTTTCTCAGATCTCGCCGAACCGCTAAACGAACTGCTTCAAAATACACTACCTTCAAATGGGGACCTCCCCAGGCGAAGGCATTCCTATTTCTTAAACGTGCACTCATTACCGTCCCAATACTTGACCACTTCGTGCCGGGAGCTGACACGGAAATCCGAACGGATGCCAGGGGGCATGGCGTGGGGGCTGTTCTGGAACAAAATGTAAATAGTCGCCCACGCGTAATTGCATACTCTAGTTGAACCCTAACTAAGTGTGAGATAAATTGCAGTATTACAGAGCGTGAATGTATAGCACTAATACGGGCGATATCGAAATTCTGAATTAAGTACCTGTTGTTTGTTTTTATGTTTTGCACCACTCCCTTCTGTAACGCCCCTGGGCCTTGAAGGTACTGAAAAAAAATATATAAATGAATATCTTTATGGCAGCCACTTTAATATTGTTACAGATGACCACGCCCTATGCTGGCTTGCCAGCCTTAAAAATCCATCTGGCCGCCTTGGATGGTGGTCGCTGAAAATTCAAGACTACGACTTTAGCGTTGTATTCAAGTCAGGAAAGTGTCATCTCGATGCTGATGCGCTGTCCCGATGCCCTCTGCCCACTGACATTTCACATGACGCTCCAAGTGACCACAATTCTTCCATCACTCTGTTAGATACCCTTGAGATCGCAGCTGCTCGAGCGTCCGATCCAACGAGGTAGAGGGGCTTAGAGCGATAAACCGGGGTTCCGGTCTGCACTCGAAAGTGACCCCCACAAGGCGGCTGTCATTGTAGGCACATTTGACCACTCGTCACATGAGCAAACCAAAGACGTGACGTCACAGGAAAGATGACAGCGCCCATGCAGCGGCTGGCCCCATCTGGGCCGGAGTTTGTCGGATGCATTGTTGGTTGTCGTTCGTCTCGGCGAGCTGATCTCAGGCGCGAAGCCGTCATACGAGGCCGGTCGAAAGCGACTTCAGAGTTCAGCGTGGTGTCTGACTTAGGTATTACGTGAAAATACGGAGGAACGGTGTGCATTTCGCTGGTGACCGACGGGGATATCGTTACGGAAGAGGCATTATGCCCCACATTGCTCGGACCTCGGATTGATTCGGATACCACTAGGATAAAATTTAAGGCGACGTTTCTCTGCTCTGTTGACCATCGGAATCTTCGAGGTCTGCAGTGAAGCGCTTGCAATATATTTGGATACACAGTTTAGCTATGTAAATTGCGTGAGTCGTGCTTGGCAGTGTGCAATCGTGGTGCAGCTTCGTTTAAATAACTGAAGGCTCACTTTGGTTGCGGGGCGTACCGGAGAGCTGCAATTAAGCAGGTAGTTCCTGTGCCGTGCTTCACGTGATGTTGTGTGCTCCCTAAATTGTTCTGGCGTAGACGTGCACTTTCACGGAGCACAGGTGTTGCAGTTGGAATTGATTCTGCCGGTCCGTCGCACGTTTCGTCGACACAAACGTTTCATCAACACTCGTTACGCGAATTGCAAGCTGTATGGACATTTCATCGAGCCTGCTACCTACCCAGCTCACCCGTTCACGCCGCTTTGCGGCGACAGTCTGCAGTGACTCATTACCAGAAAAGTGGTCTCACATCCATTTCAGTTCAGTTCGTCCACGGCAGTCAAAACCCCGAATGAGAGGATTTATTCGGACAGAATGCCACAAAAGCAATGCAGCTTCTTTAGTG